CAATGGACATAAATGAATGGGTGGGGTCTCAGGAGGATATACCTGGATCATGACCCCCTTAGTCTCCTTTGCTTGAGGCTAAACAGATTCAGCTCAGCTAACCTCTCCTCATAAGACAGGGTTAGTGTGCTAACACAGACTACATGTGGTTTGTGGATGAGGCATATAACTATGTAGGGAGCCGCCCACTCACCCAACGACGGAATCTAATTGGACAGCCGAAGACTCTGCATGTGTGTAGGTCTTTCCAAGAGCACCTGAAAAATTACTTACCCTTTCAAGCAAAATCTAACCAAATCTGCCTCAAATTTAATTAAAGATTTATTTTAAAAATCTTCTAGTCATTACATTTCTGTTATTCAGATTACTTCTGGGCTTTCCTTACTAATGCTTAACTTTCAGTTGTTCCGGGTGGTTTATATAACGCCTCGGAGCTTCAGTCAGTACAACTGTAACTCAGTGGTCAACTCAGAGGCTGCACAATAGTTTTACACGATACTTTTACACGATACTTTTACACGATACTTTTACACGATACTTTTACACGATAGTTGCCATAGCTCAGGCTTATAGGACCTGTGCGGCCTGTGACCTTACAACCACCCCAGTGGGCACAGCACATGTAATACACATGGATTTTGTTGTCGATATTTGGTGAAGTGGTGGATTTTCACCGGATAACCACGTAGTTTTTATGTGATTAATAGGCATGTGGAAAAGATGTGGAAAAAATTTACGTGGGGTCCATGTGGAGTTTTAGATCCCACTATCAGTGTTTGCCTACTGAACGTGGAACTGATAATAATCTAACTTTAGATACACTCTCAGTTAAAACAGGAATAAATATTTCACCTGTTATTTCATAAATGTGATAGTCATAGTATGAGTTTATCAATTAACATTAAAACATCTAACTACCAAAAATGTCTTTACTGAAAAAAGTTATTTTGCTCAACAAGCATTATTCATGAGAATGGATATATTTTACACAATAAAACAGGCTTTTTAGATTTACTTAAAATGTAGTAGTAGTAGTAGTAGTATGTTGAACACAAAACCGGGACTAAAAACTTAACTCAGTCACACATAAAGTGAAAGAATAATTTTGAATAATGTCAATAAATCTTTACATTTGTTTATGGTAACAAATATTTTCTAGTTAAGTTTATGGAAAAAAAAACCTCTTTAGTTAAAGCCCTGATGCACACTGATGGAATAAAGCAACGTAGGAGTTTGGAAGTAGCAACTCAGAATCTCATCTTATATGCATCTATTCCCTTTCTTGGGTGTTATTTAGACTGAAAAATGCACCAAAGCATAAAAGGAAGGCAGGAGTTGCTTTAAAGAATGTTATTCTAGCCCTTGTAATAGTGTAAATTAGCATGGTGGTATGCTATTCAGTCCCTAAATGGATGTAGTAAGAGTCACGTCCTCAACCTTGGCACAACTTTGAAGTTATTTTGAGTGTGTTTTGGCCACTGGCAAGCATGCATCTTGCTTCCACTCCTGTTTGTCATTTTCATGGATAGGGTATCATTGCTGTCAAGTGTCAGGGGCTAGAGGTGACATCCTTGCTGTTTGCGGATGATTTTATTTCTTTGGAATCATCTGGCCAAGACCTCCAGCAGGCACATGAGTGATCTGATTCTGAGCGTGAACTGGTGGGGATGAAAATCAGCTCTTTGGAAAAGAGTGGATTGTACCTTCCAGGTTTGGGGGGGGGGGGGGGGGAGTCTGCCTTTAGTGAAGGAGTTTAATGACCTCAGGAGCTTCTTCACACGCTAAGAGTGAATGTAAGATTGACAGATTGATCAATTTGATGGCCTCAGTTATTCAGGTAGTGAGCAGGTCCATGGCTGTGATATTGGTGCTGGTGACCCTGAGCAGGAGAAGCAGTTTGATGATAATGTTGCAATTTGGTACCAAGGGAAGCCACCATGGATTTTTAGTCACTGCTTGTTTGTTTATTTGTTATTTTTGTCATTTAACATTATATACTGTATTGCTCATCTTTTGCCAGTGTTCATACTGCTACAAGAGAACAGCTCCTTTCAGTTAGACTCACAGTAGAATTGATTTTTTTCTAAGCATCAATTTTCCAAACGTATTACTGAAAAAGCTGCCAACGCACACTAAAACTTGTAAGCAGGACAAGAATACTGTGCAGCAGAGAAGGTGAGGGAAGCTTGCCAGCTCTCTTTGGAGGTTAGCAAGACGTGGCTTGTGTGCATTACTTTCCGGCTTGTTCCTCTCCGGTGTGTGATCACTCGGCCACAAATGGACATCTGCTTCCTGCTTCACGCGAACATGGTTACACACCTCTGTTGCAGATTTGCCAGTATGAGCTCCATCTGCCAAGCTGCAGGACAAAAAGAGCCACAACAAACATCAGGTCACCAGGTCACCCCTTGTTCCAGAAATTCAGTTCTGGGAAACTCCCCCGGCTACGAGAAACATAAAATCCCGGCACTTGATCAGCTGTATCCCCACGTCTCATGTCTTTGCATGGCCTCCTAGCCTCTATACACTTCTATCAGCCTCTGATGTGCAAAGTAACAATTATAAAGTCTGAAGTGTACAATTTATGTATCTATTTCATTCCCAAAAAACCACCGTAAAGCTAAAATCCATTTACATTGTTTTAAATGGGAGAAGCAAAAAGAACCAACCAAAAAAAATGACCCAAACAATTTTCCAAATATCAATAGAACAATCTACGAAAATAACCTTATAGAGGGTGGCCCACATGCATTAGGGGGCTGAGGTGTCCACCTCAGGGGTCCAGGGAGTTATATTGGCTGGTTTTGATTTTTGGGGGGGTTACAACCCACCTATAATTTATACCCAATTACCACACATCAGTTCTATTTGTTAATAGAACCTGAAGTAGATATCAAGATGAAGGCTGACTAAAAGTACAATAAAATGTGTTGGGGAAATGCAAGCATAGAACAAAGACTGCAAACTTGTATCGGTGTTCATCGTTTACCTCACTCATACATACACCTAATGTATTCCAAAACGCAAGACCCATTATGATGAAAAAACTGTAAATATAGAGATTGCTGCACTATAAATTTGGACTACTCACAATTTGCTGCAACAAGCCCATTCTTAATTATTTTACTCCTTCTATGAGTTAGTCTTATTTATAGAGAGGAACATCTCATTGCAAACCACCCCATTCCTCTTCTTGTACCTACTGTACGTCACCCCTTATCAATTTTGTGTACCTGCATTTGATCTTAGTGTGCATTGCATGTTTCATGTTCTTACTAGATTCACTGTTACTGTATGCGCACCACATGTTCTTCCTGTACAGCACCAAACAAAATAATGTAATAATGTAATGTCTCTGTTGGAAAAAGCTGATCCTTATGATGATTAATAATGACAGTAGGGCTTAAGTGTATATATTGTTTACCCTCACTGGACATGAACATGACAGACTGGTGTGTCGAACAAGTTCTAGATTGTGAAATATAATTGACAAACTGAGTTCTATGACAGAAAAACTAATCATGAGTGAAGGTGCATAAAGCTTGAAATAATGAAGATAATTCAAAAATTCAAAACAAAGATCAAAGAGTATTTCTGGTATCTTTTAAAAATTAAGCAATGAAGTATAATAAGTTTGATTGTTGAAGTATTTCTTATGAGGTTCTTGTGGAACATAAACATTTGTATCTACTGTATGTCACCCGAGTAGGTGCTACACCTTTGGGATTGGTCAGAATGCATGCAGGAGGCTTGTGATTGGTCTATCCACTGTATCCAGAGGAACTGCTGAGTTTCTGGCAGAGGGAGAGAGACTGCAGCCAAAGGTACTTCTTTTTACGGGCACATATTTACTCTGTTCTTGACAACCAGCAATTGTAACTGTCACAGGGAAGCAATTATATATGGATACCAAATTATTACTTTGACCCCATTTTTAATAAATACATTTTATGTAGTTAATGGTAGATTACCAGAAATTAGCTTTTTAACTATTTTAGTTGTAAAAAAACATTATAGGAAACCATAGTATATTCTCAAAGCTTAATTTAAAAACAGGAACTGAAATATTCCATAGAAATTTAATTTTGAGAAATCGCAGCACGGTGGGTTAGCATGCAGCACTGTCGCCTGACCCCTCTGAAGCTGAGGATGTGAAACCTGCTTCTATTCTCTTTATGTGTATGAGTTTAGATGTTTCATCCATGATGCACAGGTTTCCTCCAAGAGAAATTGCCCATAATATGTGTGATTTGTGTGCCCTCTGATGAATGGGGATCCTGCTCTGGGAATGTTCCTGCTGTGTGCTCCAGGCTCCAGGGCCACCATGCAGGATGAGGCTTAGATTGTGGATGGATAGATACTGAGTTATACACTCTGTGGTCACTTTATTAGGTCGACTAGGCTGGAACCCATTGTTTGCCTTCAAAACTGCTTCTAGAGCTGTTGCAAGAAGCATTTCTGCTACTGTTGTAACAGACTGTTGTTTTTCTGGCCTGCCTGTTACCTTTACTGGGTTTCACTGCATTTTTTTGATCAGAACACCGTTCAGTGTATACTCTACCACATATGGCACCAAAAATCACAGTGATCAAAAACTCATAAATGAGGTTTTGACCTTGTCTGTACATATTATATATTCAGTTGCAGTCACATGATCTGCTGTTTGGAGGAGCAGGTTGTTTGCATTAGTAAGTAGGTACACCTACTAGTCATTGTGCACATGCAATGTCTGGCAGTTAGTATATAACTATGACTATATAACAATATTCCTTTCTTTGGGTAGATGGTGAGGTCTTTGAAAAAATCCATGTCTCCAGTGCTCAGTGACATTTCTATCGACTGGCTGTTCCCCGAAACCAAAGAGGTTCTGCTGTCCCCTGTGGGCTCTACGTTCTTGTTTCCTGGGGACCACTTGATTGGCTACAGTGTCATTTGTGACACAACACGTTACCATCCCAACCCAAAGTCTGTGAGTTGCAATTGTAGTGCTGTGTTGTGGCTTGTCAGTGACAGATTTCGTATAATCTATTTGTAGGATTTTTAAACGAAAAGAGCATCTGCAGCATTAAACTAAATATTGCAAAAATTCAAGAGGATACAATAGCGCGTCTTTAAGTATTTTAGAAGTCTTTGATTTTAAGGTCTCAGCATAATCAGCTAAAGCACAAAAACCTCCACAGATGCATACAAGCCAGGTTTCCATCTGTAAGCCAATAAAAGGAGGAAAGAGAGAAGATTGTTACTAGATTGCCCCAGCCAGGCAAGAGACAGCTAATCATCAGGAGCTTTCTGACAGGACAAGAGGCGACGTTACAGCATGATGCGTTTGAACGAGTCAAGCAGCTCGGTGTTCTACCACTCCCAAGAGGAGGAATCAGAGAAAACTGGCACGGAAAGCCGGACATTGCTGCGAGAGGAGGCTGCCAGATCCCCTAGCGACAGTTACCAGGAGATCGTGTCAGAGGGCAGCCCAGTTACCAAAGAGCAGGATTTGATTGGTATGCCTCACACTTTCTGGGAAATAGCATGGACAATGCTTAGACTGGGAATTAATGTGCCCAGGGGGTCACGTCTCTAGGAGATTAGAAGCGGTACATACCCAGTCTCTTCTGCCCAATCCTGCATACATATTCCTGAACCATCTTCAATTCTAAATAAATGGAACAAGCACAGTGAAAAAGATGTCACCCAATGACCTGCTTTTGTTTTCCAAGGAACTGACATGAAAACCTCACCTAGAAGGAGGGCATATAGCACCAATCAGATTGTGGACTATAACCCTCTGAGGAAGGTGCACACTCCGAGTGACCCAAGCTCAGTCATGGGTAAGAACCCACTGAGGAGGACCAAGATCCAGGAACTGATCAGCTATCCTAGCCAAGCCCATGGGGCCCAATGGATGAGTGACTATCAGGTAAGTCTACTATATATATAATATTATTCCACATATTATTCCAGTTATCCCATAGTGACAATATGTGTTTACATAGTGCTCTAAAGGACTTCAGAGGGGCTTACAATGAGAAACCTTATAATAACCATTGGAATTATTTTCTTTGAGTGCTGCAAAGCATTTTTAGTATTGATTGTTTTTATGTACAAGGTTTGCTTCTGAAGTTATGTGCTTAACTCATGCCGGTTAGAAGATAAATGATTATAAAAGAGAAATTCTGTATATGCTCATTCTACCATGGCTGCACCGTGGAGAACAGGACTGGAGTTGAAATTCATCTCACTTCTATCTAAAATCTGTGGTCTTTAATTGAAAGTAAAAGCAAGGATTGGTTCAGTATATCGAATTACATAGCAAGATAATCCATTGATGTGACTCTTAAGGTGGAAAAATGGAGATTTGCTTTTTTCCTTGCCTGAACACTAGCGGGATAAGAGATGAAATGATTGAGCTGACTGGATTCTGTGGGGAGCGAGTAAATTAGATTTTGGCCCATGCGCCATGACTAATTGCATTGAGTAAGATGGACCGTGGCAGCCTCAGAGGAGACGTGAGAAGCTCAGCGGCGTCCCTTCAAGCGGAGCGACGGATCCATGGTGTACTGGCCGCAGCTGTGAGCTTGGACTGTGCATTTCAGGTCTGGCTTCATGCTGCCTGATTAAATGGAATCAATTGCTGTTTCACTCCCTTCTAAATCTGATGGTAACAGGCCTGGCTGTAATGCATGATGGGATATCAGCGGCTGCAACTTGTCAGAGGACTAAGAGAGTGCTGGTGATGCAAAAATATATCACGGCTGTATAAATATTAGAAAAGAACTTTGAGTAATGAAATCCTGGATAAAAAAATTATGAAATCAAAAAAATCTGTGCCTAGTATTATATTACTGAACTTAATTGTGAGATTCCTTTTTGGCACTTGTTATAATTGTAATAAATTTTTTGATCAAAATGAGGTACACATTATGTCCTTATTACAGTATTTTACAGTGTATTTTGGTTAAACTGTAAATCTTTCATCACCCCTGTGGAAATGCATCCATTTGAAAATAAGTCAGGAAATACATCCATTTAAAAAAAAGTCAATATTCAACATAATGTTACACCATACTGCAGTAATATTTTTAAAATACAGTTTAGTCAAGTGGTGTATTCATATGTTTCCTTTCTGTCTATAGTATCAGCAGGAAATTTCAGTCCTGGAAGGCTGTATTGTTTGTGGGTCTTTTCGAGCAATTGATTGACCTTTGGAACACCAAGTGAGATTAGCTCCTAGTACCAGAAAATTGTTCCGTTAAATGACTATGAATGATTAAAATAGAAACTGCATTGAATGCAAGAATGATGCAAGGCACATGGAGTCACAGTGACACAGCGGGTAGCCCTGGAACCTCTGTATGTGGAATTTGCACATTCTTCTCATATTGCACAGATTTCTACCATATACTTTGATTTCCTCCTGTGGCCCAGAGACATGAAGCTAAATGAACTGGCGCTTCTCACCTACACATCATTATTGTGTTTGCTATTAGCTGGACTGGCATCTAATTCAGCATGTACTGCTGCTCTGTGCCCTCTTGGTTAGGCTACAGTCTCATCTGTAGCCCTGTAGTAGGTATGTAGTTGAAAGATGGATAGATAATCAATGGAAAATTTTTCATCGCTGCACTACAGTGAACAACAGAAAAAAACACTATTAAGTACATTCTTTATATATTAAGTAATTGTTTCTTAAAAAAACATAATTGGTTTCCTGTGCCGTAAGCATGATCGGACAGAACCCAAATGGAGCAGACCTTGCCAAAGGACCATGGCATCTAAGGGACTTGAGCTAGCAGAGGAAAAGGAAAGATTTTGTCTAGATGGAGTCGGCCTTACCTTCATGCATAGAGTGGACTCTGAAACTAAACTCGATTTAGGGAGGGTCTCTTCTCCTGGTGAAAGAGCTCAGGCAGGTGTGGGACTCACAAGTCCCAGGCTGAGCACAAGAATGTTGCCACTATACAACCATGTGAGTTGAGAGGGAAACTCACTATGTGCTAGACAGCAGTTTGGGAGACCCAACCTTGTTGAGATGCTCGAGTACCCCCCCTACAGGTTCTTCAACGCACATGTGGGGAATGTTTCTGCTCTCTCAGAAAATAGTGGGTTGGACCTTTCAAGTGAGTGGAGACAGTCTGCTCTTAGTGAACAGGTGGATCCATTCAGTGACTCTTCCACGGCTCTGGGTCTCAGTGCTTCCCTTGGCTTTATGTGTGAAGTTTGTATGTTGTATGTTCTCCCCATATTTGCGTGGGTTTCCTCCCACTGTCCAAAGTATGGTGAATTGAAGATTCCAAAACAACCTTAGTGTGTGAGTGTGCCCTGAGATGACTGACATCACATGTAGGGGTGAGGTTATGGATAGGCAGGAGCCCCCCCCCCCATTCAACAGAGGACCCCCAAAGACCTCTGACACTCTAGTGCCCACCCAGTTTACCCTCCTGGAAATGCCACTGATTCCTTGTCCCTTTCCTGGTAGGCTGTGCTTCCTTGGATAGGTTCTAGTCCTACTGTGACCAGATGTTTGTGTTGTATTTAAGAAATATTATTAATCTTTAACAAAGTATATTGTGCATTGTCACTTGAATAATAAAAAATATGAATTATTTTCACAGCGTATTGAATCCGGTATTCAAACGTGATCAGTCTGATGGCATCCAACTGTGAAAAAAAAAAAGTTTAAGGTTTGCTAAAAGCAGAGAGCGGAGTGAAAAATGCACTGACAAGAGAATGATTGATGGAGGAGGCAAAAATTAGCCGAAATCAAATTAATGACTAGGAGAAGCCTCAACTTCCTCCATGTCATGCACATGGCCACTGGTTTAATGGCCTTCATTAACACTTGAAAGACAGTTTTTTATTAATATTTAATACGACACGTGAAGAATGTATGAAGGAGGTATATGATCAGGAAAGAAATCATCACAGAGGTAAATGATTCTGAATTCTGAAACTGGTGGACTGACCACCTATTTTATATATAATTAAAAAATGTAAAATAAAAGCCTATATTGTCTTCATATAGGCATAAAAAACGTGCTGTTGCTTATGATCTGCTTGAGGCCTGTAAACTGATGAAACCTTCCTTACCCTCTCCTTTAATTATCTAGTATCTGTTCAATAGATCCCCTAATCCAAGAGGATTTCCACTGTTCACAATTCTGCAGTTTTAGAGCTGAATAGTCCGGCTGTTAATTGTAATCCACAGCTATGGGTCAGATCTTTCAGCCCCAAAAGAACAGAAGCATAGCCTGTGAACAATGGTACAACTGCCAATAGCAGTGGCAAAACCTGCATGGCTTGCCATCATACGTTTGGCCACAAGTCTTTGATTGATATATTTTAGTTGTATTTTCGGTTATATGTTTTTCTAATCTTACAGCCACAGCTGGCGAGTCTGTGCTCCGCCTCGAGCAGATGTCGGTCTAATGCCGGACAAAGGCCACTTCAGCTGCAACATGAAGAGCTTACCCAGGACCCAGAGGTGGATCAGCTGCATCAGTGCGCCAGCGTCCATGCGGTCCGAGGAACCGCAGTCGAGGAAGGCTCCAGGTCCTCCACGGACAGCCCTTCCGTGAGCAGTGGTGGAGATCCAGGTCAGTTCATTAGTGTGAATTCCATGCCTTTTCATTAGAGCCTGTTGGAGAGCTTCCATTTGGTCTGGAGAAATCCCTATCTCGTCTGTATTCTACATCAGATTACAATGACCTTTCTGTCCTTGTTTGGATAAAGACTGAAATTAATTCTGTGTTTACTGATGGTCTGCGTTGACTGATTTGTTAGCCTGAAGCTACAATGATGACTGGGGCCCTTAATGAGTTATCCTCTGATGTCCCAGATGTGTGGCCTGAAAATGTTTTGTTATTGTGGTAACAGAAGGCTACACTCATCAGTTCTGTGAATTCGAAATGCCCCCGGAGCTGCCAACTCCAGACAGAGACCCCAGCAAATCGGGGAGGAAAGACTGCAAAGCAGTAGTCACAGGACTTCTCTGTGGGAAGCCAGTTAAGTGGGAGGTCGTGTTTGATATTGATCCGCACCTGAACGGAAGAGAACGGGAAGAGAAGGTTCATGAAGACTTGTGGAACGAAACTTTTCATCATTTGGCGGGGAGGTCCATCATTCAGGACTTTGAGCAAATGGCAGACAAAGAGTGTGAGATTGAGCATGGTAAGGGATCCTTCTTTCTTATCCCTAAATACAGACCTTTGTTGATATCCTAATTTAGTTTTTTTTTTTTAAAGACAAGATAAATATGATGGGATAAAATTAGCCATTGTGAGACACCCAGAACTGGTACCCACACCAAGGTCCTTGCAGGTGTTATATTCTTTTCACAGGTTCAAGCAGGAGACACCAACTTTATGCCATTCAAACCAGCAAGGCCTGTAACATTCTGAGCAAATACACAGCGTTTGTGCCCATAGATCTGGACACGAATGAATATCTACGGACCAACATTGAATACACAAGCCCAGGTGTGTGGCTTATATATTACGGCTCTGTGGGGATTATTTGTTGACAGTCTGATGCTGAATGAAATGCCAGAGGTTAAGTAAATGGCCTTTGCAAGAAAAGGCTGCCAAAGAGAAACCAAATATAGTAACTCGATTAGATTTAAAAAGGAGGATGATGAATAATGAGCAACTACAGTTAGACAATAATTTACAGCAAACATTTTAAGACATTGAAATCTATTCTTAAAGGGCATTCAGTCGTGGGAGCTGTGCTGTAATATCAGCTCTTGTTGGAATGTCAGTGTCAGAGAAGCATTTTCCTCCACATCTATGTTCACGACATCCTGCTGTGTTTGTAGGACTTTTCGACCGCCATCATTTTGTGGCTTGACAGCTGCATGGTCAGTTCAGAGATGTCTGTTTTACAGTGAAGTGTCATGTTCCCTTGATCGGAACAAACTGGTATGTTTTCCAGGAGACACATCAAGGCAGAGCAGTCATTCTGGCTCGCGTTCTGGGAGCCGAAAGAACCGCATGTACTCCCGGGGACTGGGTCGCTCCCAGTCGGACTGTGTGTCTGAAGGGGCTGAGGAAGTCTTGACGGCCATAAGTAAGATCATACATGTTTCTGCCACAGAACTGCTGCACAACTAATGTTAAAAGTATTCTACAGTTCCAGTTAGGTCTTCATCATTCAGCACTTTTCATAAAGAAATACCAAACTTCTCCCATTATGCGTTTTTTTTTAAGTATTGAGTCCTATTGCTTGCCCTGAAAGGTCTATATTACTTCTGAACAAATAGCAGTGCTCATATTGAAAAATTGGACTACCTCCCAAAGAAATATCTAAGTTTTTTCAATAGTAGGCAGAACAAGCCTACTATAGAGAGCGGGACGGGCAGGCGATGGAGGATATTAGGTTTAGTATATCACCAATTATGAAAATGGACTTATGAATTGTCAGCTGGGATATCTTCATCTGGAACACCTGCTGAGTGAGAAATTGCTGACAGCCGCCAGAATTATTCAGACAACTACCGAGTCATCAGACCAATTACTTCACACATTTTTATACTGATAAGATAAACCAAATGAGGTTGCCGAAAGGTTAGCAATAAATTAAGTAAAAGCATTGAGGTACAGAACATTGTAAATATATTTTCATTCTGAATATATTCTATTCTTTATCCTTCAGTTATTTACATTCTAGGGAATCCTACATGAGGCAGACACAGAAAATGCATGAATGGATGGAATCCTACATATATATATGAAATATATATATGCATATATATACACACAACTATCGCACTAATTTCTTATGTACAATGGCACTTCTGCATGCAACATAAAATAGTTTTGTACAGTAAAACTAACAAAAATTTGTATTTTTTTTAGCATCAGGTTGCTCCATGGGGTCACCCCAGTCCTTCTGTGAATTTCTTAAATACACTTTTTTTATTATTCACTTAAATAAACTAATGAGATTATGATTACCTAAAATGGTGTTCTAATTATTGAGTAAACAAATGAATGGTTATATTGGATGGTTACTGCAAACACTGGGGTGACTTTAGGGGAGGTCTTGACACACTTTAACAGATATAATATTATAGTTTTACACCAGCATATTCATCATGTAACCATAATTTTCTTAGACTGGCCAAAACTCTTGCACAATATGGTGTGTAGAAATTTAGGGGCTTCCCCAAAAGGGGGGTTGTTGGCCAGGTAACTCAGCTATCTGCTATCGTGAAGAGTCATTGATCTATTATTTGGCAGCAATGAGAATCAAGCTGATCCTACAGTTGAGGCTACGTTCACTTGCATGTCATGTGACTTTACTGGGTGAGAAGTGGATGGTGTTGACAAGCATGTGAGCTTGAGACATCTGGTCTCTCCGGTCTCATGCTCCCGCTGGCAGATGTGGGACCTTGGACAACGATAGTCCAAAAAACAAATATCTTAGATACTTTCGATACTTAGAATCCCAGAAGGAAATTTGGGCCCATCTCAGGATGAGTGATCGGAAGCTGGATGGATGGATGTTGTGTCTCGAGAAGGATGTGAACCTTGTTATAAAATAAATGTTTGCTGATTTCCCCAGTTTATTGTAGAAGGCTTCGTGATGGTTTCACGAAAACTCAGTAGTAGTGAAAAATGTGCTTTATGTATTCTGACAATGTCCTAACCGTGTGTGGTCACAGCAAGCCGGGAGTGATAATTGTTTAGTGAGACGAATGGCTGTTCCACGTCCTCTGGGGGGGTGGGGGGATTAATGGACACTTTTGTGCATTCACAACAGTCAGATTTTATTTTACTGGGAGAAACTATTTTATTAAGAACATTGACATTGCTCAAAACCACACGACAAACACTGAAAAACATATATACCTTTATGAATCAATATATTTCATAAATATATGATTCTCACACTGGTTGATTGACAAAATGAATACTAAATATGTTTATTTCTTGAAAAAAATATTCCTTCCTGTCACTGATTTCCTTGCCAAATATCTCTTATGACAAACTAACCAATACGTGTTTATATAATTATTGTCTAATATTTTGAAAAGAAACAGACTATAATGAAGCCACATCCCCCTGCAGCACATCCTCACCTTCTGGATGGGAGAGGTTTAGCTTTAATGAAGGTACGTCTGCCTTATTCCCCTGTAATGACATGCCAGGAAAGACAGTGTGAGTGTTTAACTGAGAGGGAGAAGAGAAGGGTGTATTAATCGTGTGCTAAGAGCCGACTTGAGGCTGAAAGTGCCAGCTGCTCGCGTGGCATTCGGCTCTGCCATTCTGAGTCACCCTGCCGCTTATCGTCCCCGTGTGAGGGAACTGCAGTGCTCACCTCGCTTCTGCAGGAGCACGGCAGTGCAGTGCGTGGCTCAGCATGTTTGGACGCTGGGCCTGTGACCAGAAGGTCACCAGTTCAGATCCCTAGGTTGCCGGTGATTGTCTGGTCCTGCTTTCTTGATTCTATGCTGCTTTGGTTAAAAGCATCTGGTAAATAAATTAAGTGCGTTATATCCATTCCTGTGAGGTTATGTCTTAAGCCTGTAGAGAGAGCAGAGGCTATTTTCCTCCAGTCTCATTAACAGTGTATGGCATGAGCATCTGTTATGTATGCAGAGTGTACACTGGGGGTCTGGAAGGGAAAACCATGTGACTAATCAGAAGTTGTTGCCCCTTCCAGTGCTGTCAAGGAGCCCTTCAACGGCCTCTGAACACTCCCAAAGATCAGTGGAGAGTCTCTTCTCTGCCAGGTGGGTAAGGGGGCCAACATCATTAGCCAATCATATGTTTTTGAATTGATGAGTGACAGGGCAGAGGTCATTCTGAGGGCCAATCAGCTTTGAACTGTGGACCCATCTCTGTTTACACCCCAGCTGGGCAGTTTGGGATAGGGCAAGTGCAGGGCTCTTCAGATCTGCCCCTCGATTCCAAATCCAGTCCTTGTTTTCAGCTTTCACAGGTAATTAGTTTAATAATCACTGATTATGATTGGCCACAGAGGCTTCACACCTGGCTCACGGATATAGGAAGGCTGGAAGATGAGCAGTACTCGGGCCTTAAGGACCGTGATTTGAATTGCCCTGGGTTAGCGTAAGACTGCTGTGAGGGAATTAGCAAGCTATGGGGACTTTAATCTGAGGATTCTTCTATTTATTTTTGTCTACAAGGATACAGCTACAAAGCTGTTTTTGGATATAAAATCCAAGAGTAAATTAATTGAGACCAGGTGTCCGAGTTTCTTTTTAGATACTGAGAAAGCACGTTTGTGTTGTGCTTTTTTAACAGGTACTGACTTCAGGCATAAAACCAATTTCTGCTATTCCTTCCTATGTATGTAACATCCCAAGTGTAACATTTTATGCCTCCAAAGCTTTTATCCTAATTTGGAGTCATGTGTTGTACATCATCAGTCCAATAAATGTCTTGTCATCTTGTACCAGAGTCCTTCTAATTAGCTATTAGGGCTATCTTTCCAGACTAAATGGTTTTGCAATTTTTTCTTTCAAAGTATCATAATGAGACCTGCTTCGGAGTCTGTCTGCATGTGTTTTACGTGTAGAGGTGGTCACATTTCGGCCTTTGTAATAGCGCAGCCATTTGCCATCATTACCAGGAAAGTGCAGATAATAATGATAATTATGACTGCAGATTACTTATGGACAAAAATGATAGAAGTTCTGTCTCATTTTGGACTTTCCAGCAGCAACAACAAGTAACAAAAAGTGAGACAGAACGGTGGTATTTATTATGTAGCACGCATTGGAAAAGCATCTCAAATTTAGATTTCTCCGATAGTCTAAGATACCACAACTTGGATGTGCTTATTATCTTCGCGGATCTCCGACCATCCAGCTGGTGTCCGGGTGGATCTCAGTGGTCACTGTAGTTAAGTCACGTGACTGGTCATTACTGCTCAGAGACACCAGAACACAGAAAACAACAATGTCACTTTCCACTCACTTTCCACTATCGTCACACAGCGGTTGTTTAAGCAATGGATTCAGGACAATAGAGTCATGTTACCTTGACTTTTCCATGTTTTGCTGTCACAGAATGTGCTAAAAGAAAAACCTCCTGGAGAATAGCTTTGTGAAACAATTTGTGGCCGAGCTGCCCTCACCCCCAGTGATCGCTTTCTGTACATCATTAGTGGTTTATTGCTCAGCTTCTATCCGCAGACACTACCACAGGTAGCGATGAACAACGTGGCCCATCTGTGCCTGGCCATCAGTCATGCATCTGTCCGCTGTGTGCCGCCAGTTTTATTCTTCTGGGCCTTGAATTGGACTCCTTGCTCCGAGGTGAAATGAAGAATCGTCTACGCAGATACCCAAGGTGTACTTGTGATGATGCAGTTTGTCTTCGCCTGTGTTTCGGAAGTTACAGAGGCCGATGCCATTTCCAATGGGATCGAAGGGGCAACTATCTCCACAACAATAGATTTGCAGCCTCATTATTATACTGTATAGGCTGGGAAATAGGTGGGCAGGACAGTATGGCGGATGTGACTGACACTTGTCATGGTGTCTTTGTTTATCAACAGACTGAGTCTCAGCAGGGTGCGAATGTTAACACGGGCCGCACAGGGGTTCATGTCCCGGTCACCCAAGACCAGCGAATCGATGGGCGACAGTGAGAATGAGAACAAGGACTACATCCCTCTGGTGAGTGTTGCTAAATATACTGTTGTTTGTAGCTGGGCTTGTTCTCAGGTTTTAGGTTTTGCACTTTGAAACTGGAATATGAAACTACACCCAAATTAAACACTGCAGGACCCATGTCAGTAATTCATCTTTGTCCTCTGTAGAGGGCATTATGTTTTTGCCCATATCTCTCATACTTTATGAAGTATCTCACACTTTGTTAAATCTGCTGTTCCTTAAAGACAATTAGGGCTTCAAGATGACATCACATGTGTGGGGCTGTGATCTTGCCAACTTCCCGTCAAAACGAAATATTTTTTTCCCCAGGATCTCAGGGAATTGAACTAGTCTTTGATTTGTGATCCTATGAAGAAAATGGTCCAGGTTTTTAATTTTTAATTTTTTTTTCCATATTCCATGTCCTTGTTTTGTGAGGTAGGTGTCCTTGCAGTTAGCCTGCGGGGCGTTCTTACTGAACAGCGCCCTGTGCGAGGCCATCAACGTGCCCATGGACAAGCTGAGGTGGACCTCCCCCTTCGCCAGCCACCGAGGAAGTGTGGCGCACGTCTCCCAGTTCAGCAGCCGTGGGACAGAGAGCAGAGGCAAGGGGGATTCCAGGCGGGCCGTGTCCCCACCAGAGCTCCGCTCGAAAGAGGAGGCTGCAGGGCAGCTACTGGAGGAAAAAAGCTCGAGCCAACCCCACCACATGAGACGTCCCCAGACTGAAATCGAACCCTCCCTGCTGACAGCCTCCGTTCACGGCTGCGTTCCACCCGAGCCCCCTCACTCACCCGTGAACTCGCAGACGGACAGTGGGCGCGGCTCCGAGTCCGAGGGTGTGGAGACTCCTCCGGGCCGGCCTGGGAGCCTGTGGGGCTTCTCGGAGCCGGAGGGTGCTGTCTGGGCTACGGCGGTGGCGCTGGCCTGGCTGGAGCACGGCTCGGCCAGCTACTTCATCGAATGGGAGCTGGTGGCCGCCAAAGCCAGCATGTGGCTCAGCAGCCAACCCATTCCTGAGGGCCGGGATCTGGCATCTGTCAAGACCGCAGCCAATCAGCTGTTTGTCATCCTCAGACACTGGGATGAAAACCTGCAGCTCAACATGCTCTGCTACAACCCCAACAGTGTCTGAGTATACCTGCATACATAGCGGTGTTTTCTTTGGCGTATGTGTTTGCTGGAAAAGGCCTGTGTGATTCTGATCAGTTTGAAGTGGCTCTGTTTTTATTCCAGTATGGTGACTTGTTCTGGTGTTGGCTATCTTGATGTTATACGAGGTAAAGAAAAAAAAAAGATACTGCAATTTAAAAAAAACGCTTTATCACAAAGGGCATGATAAAAGCAGAAGTATTTTCTAAGTGCAAAAGAGCAGAAAGTATTGATCTTACTATGTGCCTGGATTTGCCAGTGGTTATGGCAAATAGTCATGGCAATTTGTTTGAGCATTCATTTATCCTGTTACAGTACACTTAGGAAAGCATTTTTGTCCCTCTTTACTGTAGCTTGATAATAACCTGTGATGCAAACAGCAATTATGCCATGGTTATTTTGCATTTTGTACGTGTATCTTTAGTGATCGTTTGACCTTTGAACTGTGGTGTAATTTTGCAAATTGTAACACATCACATGGATCAAATTGTAGGGGCTTACTCACCGATGTCCTTTACAGCCGATTCGTGTGAATACAAAAAGCCAAAAATCATGGTCCAAAAATCATGCTAAATGACTTGTTGCCTGTCCATACAGTGGTAGTCAAATGTGTTTACTTATGTTTAAAATTGTGTTTTTCTGCTTAGCACTGACTGGCGCAGTTGGTTAAGATACTTATCTTGAGTGCATGCTCAGCTCTACAGATCATTGTTAGTGGGCATTTACATGTTAAATATGACTGGGAGGCCTAAGACAGTAGCACCAGCTGACAATATTTAGCCAATGGAATGAAAGGACTAGATTGCTGCAGAGTACAATGCAGTGTTAGCTCATGAGAGTTTTACTTACACAAAATTGGTCTGAGATCAGTAGGAAAAATGATTTGTTCAGAGAGATAGCCAATCAGATTGTAGAGGAGATGGCCTAGAGCAGTGGTTCTCAATCCTGTTCCTGGCGACCCGCCTGTTTTTGTTCCAACCCTAGCTTAATCAGGCTTATATGGTCCTTAATAGGCTAAGGCGGTTTCAGACCGAACACGGCGAGCACTACGCTGCGCTCCGTGCCTTTGTTGAACTTTGACCGCTGCACGATGTGACTCATTGCCTCGCGATCAATAGAAACAAGGCACCGAATCGGGCACAGAAAGCTAATTGGAGGAAAAACTTATATTGTCCGTGTCTGAGTTCCCAGAGTTATATCACACAAGCGTAGAATCTTTTTTAATGCGAAATATACATCGTCGCTACTGACCGCGAGCCAAAATGACAGGAGATAGTTTTGAAAACCACGCCTACTGTTTGCATAGAAGCATCGCGGCTTCAGTCCTCCTGCAAACTTCCCAGTGGTATACTGGAGGAAATAAGAATGAAATGGTTAAGGGCTGGTGAATTGGAGAAGCTTGTGTCGGTTCTATCATCTACTTCTTGGCAGGTGAAGGGAGTCACTGCGGATAGAAAAGTAAGATAATGAAAATGAAGAAGGCAATTAGAAATTAAAAAAGTCATTAAAAAACAAGGTGGTAAACAAACAACTCTTGACAAGAAGCTGGAGAGCAAAAAGAATCCAACAGCTCTGTAAGAATCAGTAGTGTGGAGCAGCACATTTTTGGGACAAATCTATTACAGAGCGAAAATGGGATGTCAGTTTAAGGTAAATAAAAAGAGCTGGAGGTGACAGCTCAGATGTAAACCTACAACTGAGCCATGGCTAACAGGGTGAGATCAGGGGCAGATTAATGCATAGGCTATAGCCTAGGGCCTCAGTAAACAACAGGGCCCCACTTCACCTCGGGATAAATGGAAAGCTTATTTAAACCAGCAACTTCTGAGTCTCCCATACTGATGACAAACTAGGGCCCCCAAGATAATCCGCCCTTGGGTACTATGCTTTTAAGATAACATCAAAAAGACTCACAAAGTCTGAACTCCACTAATCTTGATGACAAATAAAATCCATGAAGTATATAAAAGTTTAAAACAATTCAAAATAAGTATGCAGCAAATTTATTGTGTGGGTGCAGATTATCATACAATCAACAGAAAATCAGTAAACATAATCAAACCTACATTTTACACTTCACAAATTCTCTGCAATTAGGTGCCAATTATTGTGTGTGTTAGTTAGCTGTTAATTTAAAAAAATCGTTCAAATGAATTAAAATCAATTAAAATGATTTCATTGAAATATTAAACGGTACCGTGATGATTTAAACAAGTTGGAAACAAAAGGGATACAGTATCTCTTCTCTATAAAATTGTGGGGAAAGATGGACAGAAGCTGGGTCTTCTTTATACTAACATTGAATATTTATTGCCACACTTGTCTGAAAGTATGCATAAAAGTGCAAGGTAATTCAACTATTATCACTATATCCTTGTCTGCACTGATAATAAAAATATGTATCATTAATTTTCATTAATGTTTGCTTATGCTAATGAAGTTCGTATCTGCCAAGGAATGCAAACACCTCACTGACATTTGCCTTCACATCTGTAACTGTAGGGAATAGGCACATGAAAATGTCGCTTTCCAGTGTTGGTTAAAGTACACCTTTATCTAGGATGCTTTGTATTGTCTAAAACAGTATCAAGTAAGTCAAGAGATCAGACATCTGTGATTAATATATTAATATTCTGTCTGTGTGCTCTTTTGCCTCAAGTGCCTACAGTATCTACAATGCTTTGGTGTTAATTACTGCATGTCCCTGGTTATTTTATATATCTAGAAATCAATCTTGGATTCTATTCCAAGATATGGAGCTACCTGCTTTGTTTGTTTGTTTGTTTTTTGTCTTGTCAGTTCTCAACCAGACATATTTCATTGCATTCATTAAAATGGTAAACATGTTTTGATACTCTTCTGAAAAATTATCTACTCATGAAATCCCACTGAAATCAATTTATTATTTTTAAGGTTTACCTCTCACCATAATCTTGTGTTTAATAAACAATAACAAACCACATCTGAATCATATTTTTAAAAGTACAGAAATTGAATTAAGGTCAAATGAAAATTATAAGGAGTTTTTCTGTTTCATTTAATTATTTTTAAAATTAATGAATCAATTCATATTTAAGTTAACCAGTCACTATCATGTTTCTTTACAGGCTATATTCATCATATTGATAAACTCAAATAATACATAATCAATATGAAATGTTGGTTTTTAAATATTCTTTTGGGTAATAACGACACAGTTTGCCTTGGAAATATGCACAGCCAGTCATACATTATAAGTGTGACCACTTACATGCATGCAAAACATACCTGTACAAAAAAAAAAACAATGACTGAAGTGTGTTATTGGTTGACTTGACCAAATCAGCAGTGTGTAATTCTGATATGCTGTTAATTTGTAAGTAATGATTTCTGGGGCATTGTGTGATTAGAAAGTGTGCATCATGGTGTTTAATAGGAAAACACCAAACTTCATTCATGCTGCTTAGTCCAGCTGCAGAGAGTTTGCTGGTGTGCATGAAGTCGCTTGTCAGCGTAAGTCCAGGGAGTGTCACGCTGTAAGGCCATTCTGTTGTGGCCATGGTTACCGGAACCCATCAAGGTTGAATTGTGTTTCTCAAGTGCTTGTGCGTTTTGGAAAAAAAAATGGTGTAGACTGTTTCAATGCTGTTAAGTGCTGGTGGTGCTGGTTTATAAAATTCCTGTGGTGTGATGGACTGTGCCACTGCATGTAATAACATTAAAGTTTCAAAGGAGGTAAAAGGAAATTGTTGGTTTTTTTTTTTTTTTGGTTGGTATTGAGTTTTCAGACAGTTTCATACTCGGTAATGACATGTCAGTATATCATGCAGTTTGGGGTTCTTGGAAACCTGGTGGTGAAAACAGGTTAGTTTCATAAAGAAGAGGTTAAAAAAGGTTTAAAAATGGTAATGATTTAATTATTTGTAAAATATTATATGTGTGCATCTATGAATATAGATTTTTTAAGAGTTAAATATCTTAAAATATAGGATAAAATTCTGTTTATCTGTCTTTTTATTGATATACAGAAATCTGTCCTATTTATCATTTTAAATACGTTTAATGACAGCCTAATATCTTCTAGAAAGCTCATATTTGTTCTTTCACAAGACAAAAAGGTGAAACCAATGACAAATGGGAAAAATAAAAGAGCAGTTGCTTTTCTGTTATTTAACAATTGAGTCCTCAAGCTAAGGAATGCTACTTTATGAAATAAAACCCATTCACCCATTCATCTTCCAACCACTTATCAACCCAGGGTTGCAGGGAGGTGAAACCCTGCTAACATACACTGTTTTATGGTTCTGTGAAGGAAAGAAAATAGCATTTAGCACAGCAGTTTAAAGATCATACCATTAGCATTTAAAACAAATCTCGCAGCTATATTGCAATAATTGTTAGAAAATTGATCACCCATTCAATGTAGATGATCAGTACACCCAATTTGCCTTTTTTCCTGAAAATAATAGCTATTATGCCCTTCTAGGAGCTGTATGTTGCTCAATACAGCAACCAAAAAAAGCAATACTAGACACAGCCAGTAGATGCTGCACCACTCTCTCAAAACTGAGAAAGTCGGTTGGCTCGGTCCCATCCTGCTCAGAAGTGGCCAAGACATCCCATGTCGATGCAGAGCACGGCTCCAATGCTGCATCTCTGCAGGGGTCCTGGTGGCATCCGGGGAATTTCTGGTAGGGCCATTCCGTTGTACGTGACACCAGCCCCCCAAGCGTGTTGCGGCATCAGGTATCCGAGACCCAACTCCACCTCATTTGTGCCTGGATGGAAGCGCAACGGCGCATGGTGCTGAAACCAGGATTAAGTAGCTCATTAATGGTGACAAGGTGGTGTGAGGCTGCTGACGGACAGCCAAGGCGTAGCGCACATCCGTCTCATTAGGTGAGCGGGGGCAGCGTGAGCCTTGGGCAGCTAAGGGGCAGGAAAATAGCTCTCATTAAAAACTGCAAGATCACTGTATACCAGTGCCCCTGCATTACATCCGACCATGTACACTGTCCAGTTGGGGTTCCAGTGGAACCAGGATTACCTCCATGTAGTTTAGACATTACCCACTACGCCAGCATTCCATGGCTTGAAACCAAATCTGACGTACATTTCACTTGGGGAAAAAAGGAAAGGTCTGAGACCAAAACTCTACAGGTCAGTTGTGCTGAGCTGCACTGCGCATCTGAAATTAGCACTGGACACGAGCTGCATGGGAATCACACTGACATCGTGGTCCATGCTGAACTTACTACACCTTGTCTCATAAACAATGCATAAGGAGAGGCATTAAATCGGATTACAAAGAGAACTGAGAAATGCTTTGCTCAGTCTCAATTCCAAGATGGACATCTTAGTCAGTGAATTCAGCAGATGTTCTAAATGTCTTTTAATTTGTTGCGTTTATCCATGTTGCAAACACAATACCTGTGAGACTAGTGTCTTATTATTGGTATCACACATAAATAAATTTAGATGTCCAAAGCTTGCAAAAAAAAAAAAAAATAACATTAATATTTCTTTATCTACACGATTTTCAGTTTTATAAGCATACATTTCTTCTATATAATATTCTTAATAGAGACGCTTTACATTAAGTGCACCTTCATAATGCACTTAATGTATCATTTATAAATGATCGTTTGCGGCTTGGTTTGGGAATCTTTCAGTGAAAAATAAAAATGAATAATTGAGTGGTTTGGAAGGCAGATTGGTGAACCACAGGCAAACTTGGATACTCTATACGTAAGACAAATACAGCGCATAACCAGTTCAATATTACTTGACATTTCTCATTCATTGCATACTGAGTTTCAGCTTCTTCCATCTGGTCGCAGGTTCATAATTCCCAGGTGCAGGACAAAACAAACAGTTTTATTCCGGCAGCAAATAAGTTATGAGTTATAGCTTTTTATATTGTAAGGATTTTGTTATTTTATTTACATATTTATTATTATTTTTTACTGATAGTACTGTTTATTGTTAGGGATGGACCCCATATTGGGGTATAATGAGTGATGTGTGATATGTGTGTTGTTTGTGTTTCTCCTGTTTGGGTTTGTGTGGACTCTGTACTGCAAACAAAATTTACCTTTGGGCACAAATAAAGTAACTTGAACTTGATTCATTATGCATTCATAGAACATTCAGTGCACCTTTGTAATGCATTCATAGAACATTCATAAGCAGCATGCAAGTACACCTTAACATCCTAACATCCCTTAACAGCTTTAATGTACATTTATAACAAACATTACATGATTATGCAATTATAATGTTTGTTATTATTATATGTTTGTTATTAATGTACATTACAGCTGTTAAGGGATGTTAGGAAGTAAAGGTATACATGCATGATGTTTATGAATGATTTCTGAATACTTAATGAATACATTATAAAGGTGTACTGAACCTTTTATGAATGCAATATAAAAGCATTATGAAGGTGCAGTTAATGTAAAGCGTTACCGAACATATTAATGTGGTACAAATATTTAATGGCTGTTTTCCAATAAAATACCTTGAATACAAAAATAAATTATGACAACTGTAATAAATGTATGTGAAAAACTAACAACCATTAAATATTTTTTCATCAGACATAAGAATCTGTAAACTGCAGTTAAACTAAGTAGGTCTAAGTAGTGTATGAGGATGTTAAACATATTAACAAATTCACCAGTATAGCTTTTCCTTGAAATAATCTGCTACCAAGACAGTTTAAATTAATCATTTGTTGCCAGGCAACTGTGACTTTCAGATTGAAACAGACAATTAATGTCATGGAGAAAATGATGCAAAACGCTCCATTATTGTAAACACTCTAAAGCTTTTTTAAAAAAATTATATTGCCACAAAGTCCACTAATTAATTGATTATCACTCTCAAAAATCTTTCCCGTTTGGCCTTTCAAGATGATGTTATCTTTAGACCAAAACAACCTGCCATACAACCAGAACACCACGAGGACAATTTTACTCCATGTATAACAGAGACAACGGAGTCAAACACTACATGTGTACGATCTGCTTTTTCTGTTAAGCTAGACCCAGCCCCCATTTAATGAACCTGTTTAATCTGCTCCTCGTCAAATATTTCTCTCATCATAAACTACATTAACAGTCCAGTCACTAGCTGCCCAAGAGCAATTTTTACAATGGTGCAGCACAAAATACTACAGTTCTTGTTAATATGTATGAAAGTTATTTTTTATTTTTTATTTAACATCACTTTATTGCGATGATAGTGTGGTATTTTTTATATGTCTAAAGTGAAAACATAATTTTATTATTTTAATTAGATTTAAGGATGTTAGTGCCATGAATGAGCTAACTGAGGATGTTACTATGGTAACTGCCTGAGAATTGGGGATGCTCATGGTCCTAAACGTGAACCATTCAATAAGAAGGAATTTGATTTTAAAGAGGACATGACATTAGTAATCATGTTTCAGGCTGTATTACAACCAACTGTAAGTCGTGTTTGTGGGTGTGAGATAAAGGAAGATTATAAGAAACTGTAGGCCTTTTTGTAGGTATAGCAGAAGAGAACAAATTGAACTTAAAGCCAAATGCTTCAAATCCCAAGATGGAAACACATGTTATATAAACACAAATTATTTAAGCACGCACACAGGACTGGTCAGTCCTATAAGTGGTTGGGGGGGGGGTGCTGTCTTGCCAATTTCACTTTACATCAGACAGGGGGTGCTGGTGGTGATGCTCGCCTGGGGCAACACATACTGTGTGTGGAGTTTGCAGGTCCTCCCCATGCTACCTTGAAGTGTTTGGTCCTCCGGGTTTTTTTCCCTCAGTCCAAAAACATGTGTTTAGATCAGTATCTATAACGTGCTCATATTATGTGTTGGAATTATGTGTGGATTTGAGTGCCTGTCCGGCATCCCAAAGAGGGCGTGTCCGACATCCCAATGAGGGTGTGTCCGGTATCCCAAAGAGGGTGTGTCCGGCATTCCAAAGAGGGCATGTCTGGCATCCCAAAGAGGGCGTGTCCGGCATCCCAATGAGGGCGTGTCCGGCATCCCAAAGAGGGCGTGTCCGGCACCCCAAAGAGGGCGTGTCCGGCATCCCAATGAGGGTGTGTCTGGTATCCCAAAGAGGGCGTGTCCGGCATCCCAATGAGGGTGTGTCCGGCATCCCAAAGAGGGCGTGTCCGGCATCCCAATGAGGGTGTGTCTGTTCTTCCTGGGATAGGCTCTAGGTCAACCATAATCCTCTCCTGGATAAGCAATTATGGACAACTGATGGATGTCCATTTAAATGTATGAGGTACAAATACAGTTGCATAGATACACTTCACTGGCATTTTACCTTGAAAGGTTACAAAACCTAGTCACCACAAAGAGAAAAAAAGGGTTATAAAACACATCCTTTCACATGTTGGCAATGGCTGCCTGGTTACAGCAATTAGGTCATATGAGTTAAAATTGAGTTGTCTATGCAATAACTAACTCAGTTTTCCTTCCCACCTAATAAAAAAAAAAATATCATATTATAGTGTTATCCCCACTTTAAGGAATGGAAAGATGTTTACATTTTTTGGTCAAAAAACTCAAAAGAAAAAATATTAGTGATTAAGCTTTGTTTATTGATATATTATATAACTCCCTGCAACTACCATAAATATAGGTAAACGAAAACCAAAGTATGAAGCCTTATAATCCTGACAATCCACTGATTGCACCGTCTGATACTGCCTACTGGGTTGTACTTCTT